TGAATTGACAGCTATATCTTCCCGCCACCATCTCCCCCGCAAACCCGTGTCTCTGCTTAGAGTCTGACATAAAACAAGGAGTGAACCCCATTTGTCTCTGTGTGGTTTCAATGAAAAAAGTCGGTGCACAAGGACGGAAACGAGAGCGGCTGAAAAGGGGTGTATGACTTGTTGAGCATACAAATCATTTCCCCCCTACTCGCCAAGGGAGGGGGGGAAATTCCTCTTACTCTCTCTTAGCAGATTGAGCTCTGCATTCGGGAGAAGAGTCTGGGGCTGGTCTTCACGTAGGAAACTTTTCTCACACGGCCGGCTGGGTGCATTGCGCTCGGACCGATACGGTGGGCATCGCGCGTGCTCCTCTCGCGGGCAAGGGCCCCAGACCCCAGGACGCGTCTGTCTCTTTAAATTCCAGCTGCGCGGCTGGGAAACAGCGCCACTAGCCGCCCAGGCCGGCTGGCGGCTGCGAGCTCGCTCGCGCTCCCGCTCCCGGCTGCGCGCCGCGGAGGGCTCGCTCGGCCCGCGGGCGGCTTGGCGGCGACGGCAGCGGCGGGGCGGGGAGGCGCGGCCGGGCGGAGGAGGGAAGACGGAGCACGCCGGGCCGGGAGAGGCGCCGCGCCCGGTCCTCGCACCCGCGCCCGGCGGCCCCAGCAGTTTCCTTCAGGGTGACGAGGATGTGCCTGGGTTGCGTGTGTGTATGAGGTTTATTTTTTTCCCTCCTCCTCTATAAGACGATTTCCATAGTAACCTGATCAAGTGGCTTTAGTATCGCAAACCTGAGGATTTCCGCGGCCCGCCGGCTTGACCTCGGTCAGGTAAGGCTGCGATCTCGTCTTCTTCCATTGCAAACCGCTGCGCTCCTTCCAAACTTCCTTTTGTGGAAAACCGCCCAGCCCCACGCAGCCCGGGGTATTTGCAACAGCGAGCGTGTTCCCTCCCAGGTGTCTGCCACGGGTCCCCTGCCACGGGTCCTCTGCCCTGATGGTTCCCCAGGACCTATGATGATCACATTATTAAAAATGTTTTTTTTTTTTTTTGGTTGCGCCCCCTCCTCCCCTTTTTGAATTCTCCATCTCTGCGCTCTTCTCGGCTTTTTCTCTTAGACTAGTGATGGGGACGCGGGGAGAAGTCGGGGGCGGGGGTGGGAGGCGAGCGTGGTCCAGGGAGTGGCGGGCTCCGCTGGGCTGGCCGCGATGGGCTACTTTGGGCATCTCGGCGTTGCCCGCGCGGGGATGGGGCATCCGGGAGGGCTGTCAGCACCAGGGCGGCGGAACCCGGGAGCCTCACGTCTCCAGACGAGCCAGCGAGGGACGCAGGCTTGGGGGGTGATGGAGCGCTCGGCTGGCTGGCTGGCGAGCGTCCATACATCATAGCTTTCCTGCCTGCTCCCCCGCCCCTCTTCGGTTTTCTCTCTTTCTCTTTCCCCGTTCTCATTTCTTTCTTCCTTTCCTCATCACCAGCTCCATCCTGTTCCCTCCCTTCCCTCTATTTTTCTCCCCTCGTTTCCCTTTTCCCTTTTCCTCTTAAAATAAAAGAAACGGGAACCGTTTGTAACCCTTTGGTTCTGCCAGCATGGGAAGAGCTGTGAAACCTGCAGCGTGGCCACCCTCAACCTGGTCGCTTTCAGACTCCTTCCTCATCCATCAACATATTTGTTCCTCTCTCGATTCTGCAGAAATGCGTTCTGAGCTGGGCGTCTGTATGTCAGAATCCCAGTTCCGCTGCTCGCTTCCATGCTCCAAGTATTGTAAGGGCTTCATATGTTTTAAATCCATATCAACCGTGGATATAAAGAAATTTATCTTTTAAAAAAAATCTAGGCTGATTCTAGAGAAAGTTCCCTCTTAAATTATTCATGTACTCTTTCCCTTCTTTGAAATTTAATTTTAGGGATCTTGGGAGACGGTTCTTTTCCTCCCGTTTATGAGGAACGTGCAACTTCTTACCTTAATTATCTCCTCTTGGAACCTCATTCAGTTTTGCACTGCCCAGTCACTGGAATGAGATCATAATTAAGGTTCAGAGGCTTGCTTCCCAAAGTCCAAGCTGGCTGAAGTGACAGCCTATGGTAGAAGGTGCTGAGAGAACCATGTGGGCCAGACAGAGCTCTCCAAGAATAGATAAGGCAGAGCAACTCTTGTGTGAAATACATAACTAGAGTCAGACTTTAGTACTGAAGATGTGAAAATGCAGTAAAACCAGGCTTTTTGGTTTTTGGTTCTTAGCCTGCATATAACTACTATGGAGGTATAAGTTAATATTTACTTAAAAATTGAGCCACTCTAGTGTAGAACCCAATCTGCCTTGTTTATGTTAAGACGCTCCTTCACTGTGGTTTTATTTTTCTTTGAAACATAAGATGTTTGTATCATGTGAAAACAAAGGGATAAAACAGAGGGTGACTTCTATTTAACCAGAAATAGGATTTATATGGATTTTTGTTGGTTTTGTCTCTCAAAAGATCTAGTTGTTACGCTCTCAAGTTTTCCTGAGGTCAAAATATTTCATGGATGGAAACAATACTAATCAATGATTTTCCTTCACTCTCTATCAGTGGTGTATACAGTGTATATAGAAAAAGGTCTCAGTTTTAGAGAGCCCCCCTTGCCTCCTTTCCTTTGTCTTCATGTTTGTTTTTAAATCCAACTATCAATATAGAATAAAGAATCTTGGGGCAGAGAATGAATCAGGAAGAAGAGAAACCACTGGTATAATGGAAAATATACCCAAACCAGGACAAGATAATTAGTGCCATGCGTTTCCACACTGTTGTATTTGTTTTTAGCCAATTAAGAAGCTGTAGGTTTTCAATGTGTTTCCGTCTCCTTAGTTCTATACCTAATACTTTCTAGACTGGAGGTCTATGTATCTAGTTCTGGTGAATATTTACAAAAGACTTAAAATTCCCTTGCCAGGGAAATCCAAAACGCATGTTTTTCTTTCAACATTGTCTTCTTCCTAGTGTACAGTGATGGTAGTAATGGTCCTACATTACTGTTTCTACCTGATTTCTGATTTTGGTGTTTTCTGGATGTGTGGGTTTCTCCTGACACATTTACAAGATGCTCTTGGCAGGCTGCATGGGACTTGAATGCACAATTGCTTGTAGATGCAGTAAAATGCTCATTTTTCTTATTCTTGGTTTAAGAGATGTCATGCCCTCCTGGACATTTAATATTTTGGTGTGACTGCTCTTTTTTTTGTGTGTGTGTGTATGTGAAGGATTTAACAAAGTCTATTCTGATTAAACCTTGTATGATGTGAAGTTAAAAGCTGTATTAGTGACAAGCCATAAATTACTTTCTTATTTATAGTACATTGATCCTGAAACTGTTTTCCTTCCCTACCTTGTGATTGCATCTGTATATGGATCATTTAATGAAAGGCTGGTAATGATGAATTATCTGTTTTATAAAAGAAAGAAAGCCCCTCAGGTTTACATTCAGGTCCTCATTTTTATGCAGAGGGATTAACAAATGTTTTTTTTAAGATTTTTATTAAAATACAGCTAACATACAATATTATGTTTCAGGTGTACATCACAGTTATTCAACATTTATACCTACAGAAGTAATCGCCATGATAAGTCCAACAAGCATCTGACACTGTACCACACTATCACAATATTATTGACTGTATTCCCTATGCTGTACATTACATCCCCATGACTTAAACAAATGTTTTTGATTTGATATTTTAATAGACTGTATTGCTGAGGGCTGCTAATTACCAAGAATATATTTTGTTAATTCTGAAATGGGTATAAGATAAGACATCTCTCAAGTTGTCTGGAGGGCTCCAAGTGACGCATCCTTGTAACCCATGGCAACAGGAAATGGTTGTCCCGGGTGCACGCTCAAGTGTGGACACAGTTCCATACTTGGTGATCCTTCAGGTTCTTGATATTAAAGCATGCTGGTTCTTTTGTGTAGACTGGATGTTAACTTTTTTACTTTTGTCAGAACAATGACTCCTAGGCCTAGTTTTACACAATTCCCATTAGCTACTCATTTACTTGAGAGTTATAAAATGCTGAGAAAACATATAAGTTTAATGCTACTTTTTTAATAGAAAGTAATTTATAGAGAGGCGTGCATGTGCATCTGACCCTGCATGTAGCTGGGATAATTAGGGTGAGGATATCACCAAATCAAACATGAGAGGCTGTGTCAGCTTTAGAAATAAATGTTGGGAGGCAGGGAGCAGTGTATGGCAGTAGGAGTCACGAGGCCAAGGTTACAGTCCCACTTTTCAGTGCATCACAGAGGTGTACGTGCCATGGCCTCCTGATTCGCAGATGTCACTTAGCTTTGTTTTTTCTAGAAGAAAAATGAACATAGTAATCTTTTCCTATATTTGAGTTCTTCAATATATATGAATATATGACATAATCACATATACACAGGTATACATGGGTAGCAGTGTGGATACTAAAAGATGCACACACACACACACACACACACACACAGAGGTAACAGACAAGTCTTCTGAACAGAGAAAGGAGATCTTTCCTCGTACGATTGACAGATGGGTAATGATGCTGACTATTTCTGTCCATTCATGAGAAGGCGAGCATATAGTATTCTCCGTATTTGTGGGTATAGGTAGTACATAGATGTTCAGTGACTGATCATATAACACAATATGCAGAACTGAATAATCCCAGCAGGTATCACTCTTACTTCACTTGAATGCAAGTGAGGAATACATTTCCCTCACCTTCTTCTCTTTTTTTAACCATTTAAGTTATCCTCCTCCCCCTTCCCCATTTTGTAAGGGAAAGTAATTGTCTGGAAGGTTAAGTGGACCACAGGGTAGGGAAAATCCCCAAGGGCTATCCTTTTGCTCAGACTTCATTTTTCCTCCCAAGTCCTACTGTCAACAATAATATCTGATATGAGCCTCTGGTGGTGATATTTCCATAGGTCATCATCCTTTTCTGTCCCAGATGAAATCTCAGGACAAGCAGTGGAGTAGCATAGATTCTGAATTGAATGTATCATTCAAGTTGGTTACTCACGTAATGGTCTTGTTAAAAAAAAAAAAGAAAGAACAGAAAAAGCTCCAGGTCTTTAAAAAGCTCCAGGTATTTCCTATTCCTGTGTTTTAAAACAATTTTATAGTATTCAGGGAAAATGAACCTGATCCCCGTAAGAATTTAAAAGCAGCTTGTTCATATCATTAGACTTTACAAGGTTTGTGCAATACTTTTTGTAATCTAGGCAGCATTTTCGTAAGAGGGATAGCAGTTGGGACGATTGCTAGCCGTGCTTGTTTGGGTAAGTACTTGAGCCAGTCAAGACCTAGAGATGTCAAGGTCTGGAAACACTGCCACTGACATAGAGCCAAAGCTTTCTTGAGAATAGAAGGGAAAGTCAGCGATTTGACAGGCAGTGATTTATGACAGCTCAGGTATAGTGAGGAAGATGTGAAACAAGCTTTTCTATTTCTTTCATCTTGCTTTGTATATATATATTTATATATATATATATATATTTATATATATATATTTATATATATATATATTTATATGTGGTTCATATATATGTATATATAGAACATGTGGGCCTCATATCCATCTTTCAGTTTTCTCTACTGGAGAATATCATCTAAGTCCCCAACCTTACTTGGTGGCTTTTGGTAGGTTTATAGGCATGACATTGAGGAAGAAATGGTACCTTTCATATCCTAACGTTGCAAATCCAATTATGGCCACAAACTTATACCATCGGGAGTTTTTTTCCCCAATCAAAACAAGAATTTATATTATTGAACACCTTCTTATGCTACCTTATTAAGATGGGATCAAATGCCA